TCAGAGCCAGCCTGGCCAGAAAAAGGAAAGGGCTGAGTAATTTGGGAGAGCGAATCACTAAATTTGCACTGAGGAGCTATGCTTACTATAAGCCAAACCCAGTAGTAACTGCGTGGGAACTAATGAAAAGCGGAAACTCCCTGCTCCCGCGGGGGGGGGGGGGGGGGGGGGGCGGCTTATATTGTAATTGAGGGAGACAACACATATCAGCTTCCAGATGGAGGGAAATCCATACTTGCTCATAGGATTTAGTGTCTGTCAAAGCTCAGGAATTGTTAGAATGTGACATCAAGACAGAGAGCAATGCCTGGTCATTGAGGGGGCGGGAGGGTGCCTAGTGGCATTGCAGAGACAAGGCAGTCTTCTATCTGACTAAAAATAATTTGTTGGTTCCTCCCTACCAATCCAAGCAGCCATGTCCATTGGCAAGGAAGGGCCCAAGGGTCAGTGTGGACCAGGGACTTTGTTCTAGAGACTTCTTATAGTAGTGACAAAGGTCTTCCATCATCCAGACATCTTCTGAGGTGCTCTCTGCCAAAAGCAGAGCAGCCAGTGACTTCTTGGCATGCCTTAATCATAACTTTACCATTCAACAGGATGGAGGAGAAACCAATGAGGAGAAATTCTATTCTGGAGAGTTCTCCTTTGGGGGGTTAACTGGTTGCTCAGGGGCAAATCACGGGAACATCCCAGGTCAATGTCACCACAATGTCCCTTCTAAACAGGTATCATTATTTCCAATTTACAGATGAGGAAACTAAGGCTGAAGTTAGGAAAGTGACTTGTTTAGGGCAACACAGCTGATAAGCAGCTGAGGTAGGAACTGAAGTCAGGTCTCCCCGACCTTCAGTACAGGTGCTTTAACCACTCACTACTTCATCAGCTCCAGAGCTGCCTGACCTCTGTGATTTCCTCTGAATCTCCTGTTTCACTTGCATCAATTTAATTTAAAGACTTCTTTGAAGCTCACATTATTTGGATTGGGTTTGTTTTTGCTTCAACATCACTAGCTGCCCCCCACTCTTACTTTCTAAATTCTCCCTCCTCTAAGATCTCTTCTCCCTCCTGATCAGTAAGACTCCAGCAGAGCAGACCTGCTCATTGGTCTCTGAAGATCAAGGTCTCAATCAGTTTCTGACCCATGACCTCCCATCACCATTCCTCCTTGTAGTATTACTCGGGCATTGCAGTGATCAGCTTCCTTAAATCTTTCAGGGTTGTAGTCATTTAAAAAGTCAGTTGTCTGGAGACACAAATTTAATCTCTTTATTTTCCAAACCCCTAAATTTATAGGGATGTGGGGGAGGGGAATTTCCCTCTTATCTCTCCATTTGCTTCCTCGGGTAGCCAGAACACACCACAGAAAACCAAAGGAGAGAAAAATTTCCTTCAGTTTGAGTTTCCCGAGGCTGAAGGAGTTAAATTCATGTCAGAGAGATAGATGATGTTTCTCTGTTCTCTTCCTTCGCCCTTTTTTCTCCCTCATCTGCTCTTTAGTTACCCTGTTTTATGCCCTATTAAGATTTCTCCCAAACTGCCCCCAGCTCTTGTACCACTAGGTGCCTTGTGCCAGTATCAATCTTTTGGAAAGTCCTGTTGATTCCACCTTCATAACATCTCTCACATACATCCCCCTCCTCCTTCTCTCCCAACACTGCCACCTTCTAGGTTCAGGCCCCAATTGCCTCACACCTATGGTATTGAAAAAGCCTGCTGTCTGAGTCTCTCCCTAGATCAGTCAATGCTCTACCCAGCTGCCAAGCTCATCTTCCTAAAGCTCCCATCTGACCACGTCACTGCCTCCTCAATAGACTGCAGAGGCTCCCTAGCACCAGGACAATATATAAAATCCTCTGCTGGGCTTAGAGGCCTTCGTCATCTGTCCCCTCCCTCCCTTTCCAGTCTTCTTTCATTTTACTCCCTCTCCATATATGCTATAATCCAGTAGCAAAGGCCTCCTTTCTATGCCTTGAACAGGACAAACCATCCCTAAGAGGTAGGTGTTATTAGTATACATTCTTTTCTAAAAAATATTTTTCACAATTACATGTAAAAATAATTTTTAATATTTTTTTAAAGTTTTGAGTTTCAAATTCACCCCCTCTCCTAACCCTCCCCCCTCACTGAGAAGGCAAGCAATTTGAAATAGGTTATACATGTGCAGTCATGCAAAACACACTTCCATATCAGTCACACTGTAAAAGAAAACACACACACACAAAAAAGAAAGATAAAGTAAAAAAGTATACTTCAATCTGCATTCAGACTCCCATCAGTTCTTTCTCTGGAGATGGATAGCATTTGTCATCATCAACCCTTCAAATAAATTGTCTTGGATCATTGCATTGCTGAGACTAGCTAAACCATTCACAGTTGATCACATATGGTTGTCACTACGTACCGTGTTCTGCTCACTTCCAGGTTTTTCTGAGAGCATCCTGCTTGTCATTTCTTATAGCACAATAGCATTCCATCACAATCATATAGCAGAACTTGTTCAGCCATTCCCCAATTGATGGACATTCCCTTAATTCCAATTTTTTGCCACCCTGAAATGTTACTATTTTTTTGTACACACTGGTCCTTTTCCTTTTTTTTTTCTTTAATATCTTTGGGAGACAGATGTAGTAGTGGTATTGCTGGATCAAAGGGTATACATGGTTTTATGGCCCTTTGGGTACTGTTCCAAATTGCTCTCCAGAATAACTGAATTCACAATTCCATGAATGGTGCCTTATCGTTCCAAATCCCCTCCAACCTTTGTCATTTTTTTTCTGATAGGGTAAAGTGATGCCTCAGAAAAGTTTTAATGTGCATTTCTCTAATAAATAGCGAATTAGAACATTTTATCTTATGACTATAGATTTGATTTCTTCATCCGAAAACTGCCTGTTCATATCCCTTTACCATTTATTTTCCAGGTCAGTTGTTTTTCCAATGAGATATTTCACATTGTCTTCTATTTTTTTCATTCTTTTGGTTTTGTTTTATTGTTTCCTGATGTCTCATGGAGTCATTAGCTTCCATTTGCCCAGTGCTAATTTTTAAGGAATTATTTTCTTCAGTGAGCTTTTGTACCTCTTTTTCCATTTAGCCAATTCTACTTTTTAAGTTCTTTTCTTCAGTAAAGTTTTCTGCCTCAAAACCATTTGGCCTACTCATTTTTTTAAGGTGTTAGTTTTTTCAGCATTTTTTGTGACTCCCTACCAAGCTGTTGACTCTTCCTTCATAATTTTCTTGCATCACTGCCATTTCTTTTCCCATTTTTCCTCTACCTTTTGAGTTCTTCCAGGTATTCTTTTTGGGTCTGAGCCCAATTCACACTTTCCTTTGACGATTTGGATGCAACAGTTTTTACTTTGTTGCCTTCTTCTGAGTTTGTGTTTTGATCTTTCCCATCACCATAGTAACTTTCTATGGTTAGGTTGTTTTTGTTGTTGTTTGCTCATTTTTCCAACTTCTTTCTTGACTTTTATATTAAAGTTGGGCTCTGCTCCTGGGGCAAAGGGGGCACTGTCCCAAACTTCAGGTTTTTGTGGACCTGCAACCCTAAGTAATTCTGTACCCAGCACCAGCAAAAGGTCTCTTATATTCCCCTTCTGATCATTTGCCCAAATCCCTTACCACCTATGGACTGAGAGCTCTGGAAGCTGCTGCTGGCACTGCTGATACAGTTGCCCTCAAGGCCTGCTCTTGGTTTGCTGGGGTGTGGCCTAAACTGGAGTGTGTTTCATTCTCACCCCAATTAGACATATTTTTCCTGCTGACCTTTGAAGTTGTCTTGGTCTAGAAAATTATTTCACCCCATACTTTTGTTGGTGCTGCCACTCCAGAATTTGTTTTTGAGGCATTATTTTAAAATTGTTTAGGGGCAGCTAGGTGGTGCAGTGGAGAGAGCACCAGCCCTGGATTCAAGAGGACCTGAGTTCAAATCTGGCCTCAGACACACAACACTTACTAGCTGTGTGACCCTGGGCAAGTCACTTAACCCCATTGCCTAACCAAAAAAAAAAAAGTTGTTTGGGAGGGAATTTGGGAGAGATCAGGTGAGTCCCTGCCTTTATTCTGCCACCTTGGCTCCACCTTCTAATATACACATTTTACAGATGGGGAAAACTGAGGAAGTAATGGGTTAAATGACTTGTCCAGGGTCACAAGTCAGAGACTGAATTTTAACTCTATTTGTGGCCCCAACAGCAGCACTCTATCTACTGTGCCACCTACCAGCCTAAAGAAATCATTACAGAAATTATAATGTCCAACAGTTACCAAAATATTTATGCCAGAATTTTTTGTGTCAACAAAGAAATGGAAAGAAGTGAATATTAATCAATGAGGGATGGATGATAAAATTAAGGTATATGTGCTCCCGAACATTATTGAGGAGTACTGAGGAACAACAGTATTTCAGAGAAAAATTCATTATATTTATGGGATTTGTGCACAGCATGAAATCTGGGATGTCTAATTACATCTGTCCTGAAGTGAGAGGTCTTCTATCATTAATGAGATCCATAAGTTTTACCTTCAGCATAAATTCTCCAACATACAGTTAAGTATGAACTCCACTGTCAAGGTTTTTCCACAATCATTGCTTTTATAAGCCTTCTTTCCATTCTAATGTCTAGGGACCTGCATCTTCCATCAAAAGGCATGTCTTCATTGAGCACATTCATATGTGTTCACTATGAGTCTTCTAATGCAAAATAAGAGATGATCTCTGCCTGAAGGTTTTCCCACATTGAGTCAATATAGAGCCTGTCCCCAGAATGAGTTTTCTGATGTCTAAAAAGAGTTAGCAGGGCAGCTATTTGGCACAGTGCATAGAAAGCCAGGATTGGGGTCAGGAGGACCTGAATTCAAATCCGGCCTCAGACACTAGCTATGTGACCCTGGACAAGTCACTTAACCCTGTTTGCCTCTGTTTCCCCAACTGTAAAATAAACTGGAGAAGGAAATGGCAAAACCATTCCAGTATCTCTGACAAGAAAACCCAAAATGGGGTCATGAAAAGTCAAACACAACTGAAAAATGACTGAACAATGAGCTTTATACTCCATTTGAATTATCTCATTCATTACAATGATAAGATTTCTACCTACTATGAATTCTTTGATGGGAATTAAGGGATGACTGTTGCCTGAAGGTTTTACCACATTGATTACACTCATAAGGTTTCTCTCCTGTATGGATTCTCTGATGTAGAGCAAGTTTGAAGTTGAATCTGAAAGTCCTTCCACATTGATTACACTCATAAGGTTTTTCTCCAGTGTGGATTCTCTTATGTTGAGCAAGATTAGAGCTCCCTCTGAAAGCCTTTCCACACTGATTACATTCATAAGGTTTCTCTCCAGTGTGGATTCTCTTATGTTCAGCAAGATCAGAGCTCTCTCTGAAACTCTTCCCACATTGATTACATTCATAAGGTCTCTCTCCAGTGTGGATCCTCTGATGATTAACAAGACTAGAGCGGTGCCTAAAAGCCTTTCCACATTGATTACATTCATAAGGTTTCTCTCCAGTGTGGATTCTCTGATGTAGAGCGAGACTGACACTCTGTCTGAAATTCTTTCCACACTGATTACATTCATAAGGTTTTTCTCCAGTGTGGATTCTCTGATGTAAAACAAGACTGGAGCTGCATCTGAAAGTCTTTCCACATTGATTACATCCATAAGGTTTCTCTCCAGTGTGGATTCTCTGATGTACAGCAACACTGGAGCTGAATCTGAAAGTCTTTCCACACTGATTACACTCATAAGGTTTCTCTCCCGTGTGGATTCTCTGATGCAGAGCAAGATTGGATGCATTTGTGAAAGTCTTTCCACACTGATGACATTCATAAAGCTTCTCTCCAGTGTGGATTCTCTGATGTTCAGCAAGACTACAGATCTGTCTGAAATTCCTTCCACATTGATTACACTCATGAGATTTCCCTCCAGTGTGGATTCTCTGATGTTTAACAAGACTAGAACTGCATCTGAAAGTCTTTCCACAATGATGACACTCATAAGGTTTCTCTCCAGTGTGGATTCTCTGATGCAGAACAAGATTGGATTTGTTTGTGAAAGTCTTTCCACACTGATTACATGCAAAAGGTTTTTCTCCAGTGTGGATTCCCTGATGGGAAATTAGGGACGTATTTTCATTGAAAGCTTTACCAAATTCATGACATTCATGAGATTTCTCTCTAGTATGAATTCTCTGGTGGGAAATAAGGAATGACTGTCTCTTGAAGGCTTTTCCACATTCCACACATTTATGTAGTTTTTCACTAGTATGAAATTTCTGATGTTGAAGAAGAGATGATTGTTGCTTAAAGGCTTTGCCACATTCATTCGATCCATGTTTCTTTCCACTGTCAATTTTCTCTTGGTCAATGAGCTTTGAATTATAACAGAAACGCTTTTCACTTTCATTACCCATAAAAAGTAAGTTTCCACTATGACTTTTCTGATGTCCAATTAGGTCTGAATTCAAGCTGAAGGCCATCTCGCATTTATGACATTGAAAAGTTTGCACTTCAGCAGGCTTTTCACGAGACTCCAGAAGCTCTACCTGTCCAGTAAAGCATTCTCTACATTCACTATGCTGAGAACAATCATTCCCTGAGGTCATTTTCTTACGGTGAATTAGGACTGAACATTGTCTGAAACTCTTTCCATCTTTACAAAATTCAAAGTGACTCTTCTGTTTTTTCTTGATCTTGATATCAGAGTCACGCGTTTCTCTCAAATTGAGGTCACAGTGACTGTGATTCACAAATCTTTGCTGTTGTGACTGTTCCACAAAAATACTCGGCTTTGCAGTACTCCCCCTCATTCCAAGCCTGATCTCTTTATCTGAATGAAACAAAGAAAGAAACACATTTATTTATTTATGGACACATACACATATATACAAATATATGCTTCCCTCCACTGACAGAAAGTTAACTGATTTATAATCTGTTTCTCTAGGGAAAGAGAAGAGCCTTCAAACTTAATGGGCATAATCAATCACTTGAAAATGCCTTTAGCTCACACCCCCGGATGACTTAATTTACAAACAGCTTCCCATACAGTAACAATGGATCCTCACAAGAAACCTGCAACACAGGCAAGACCAGGATTCTTAATACATTCCCAACTCAGGCCATGAACTAAATGACAAAGTGACCTGACCCACATTCGCACTGTTCAGACTAAAATTCAAATTCTCTGACCGGCGAGCTCTGTCCGCAATACTAGATTGCCTTTCTCCACTGCACATCTTTTTTTTAAAGTACTTTATGATTACATGTTCACTTGTTTGTATTTGTAAGCGTGAGTGCAGAACACTGTGTAAACAGTAGTTTAAGCCAGTACCTGGTGGTGCACTTGTCAATGCCAATGAAGAGCATGAGAAATGTACTCTACAAAATTAATTTGAATTCAGACATTTTAAAAAAATTATTTAATATTTTATTTTCCCCTAATTATGTGTAAAGACAAATTATAACATGTTTCTTAAAACTCTGAGTTCCAAATTTTCTCCCTCCTTCTCCTCCCCCTTCATCAAGAAGGCAAGCAATTTGACATAGGTTATACATGTGCAATCACGCAAAACCTATTTCCATTAGTCCTACTGTGAAAGAAAACACAGGCCAAAAGAAAAACTCCAAGAATAATAAAGTAAAAAAGAAAAGCATGCTTCGACTCGCATTCAGACCCCAGCAGTTCTTTCTCTGGAGGTGGACAGCATTTTTCACCGTAAGTCCTTCAGAACTACCTCAGATCACTGTATTGCTGAGAAGAGCTAAGTCATTTGTAGCCTGTACTGTAGTCGTACAATAATGCTGTTGCTGCGTACGCGGGTTCTCCTGGTTCTGCTCACTTCACTCTGCATCATTTCCTGTAGGTCTTCCCAGGTTTCTCTGAGAACATTCTGCTTCTCATTTCTTGTTGTTGCTTATCCTTCGTTCTCAGAAGAGGACCAATGACATCACGAGGGTGATGTCTTGACTTGCAAGTGAATTGGATTGCTGTGAGGCAGGGCTGTGCAAAGTCACCAGCCTCACTCTCTCCTCCAGAGTCATCAGAGTCCAGTGGCGAGACAAGTCAAGATGAATGGCTATGGCCCAGGACACAGTGGGTGAACTCGGCCTTTTAAACTAAGGTCTTTCCTAAGTCTCAGTTTGCCTGAGGCAACGCCCATTCAATGATTATGGGCAAGGTAAAAATTGAGACTAAAGCTGGCCTAGTTTGACATCACTCACGAATCAGTCTGGGAACAGAAGACTTGTCAGAATTTCTAGCCAGAACAGAACACTGCTATTTACACTCACTCCTAGCTATCAATAGCCAAACAATGATGTGGAAAGGATTGGGCTGGGAGCTGTCGTTGGCCATTCAATGAAAGCCAGAATGATTTGAGTTTAAAGGCATAATCAAGTAGCTCCATTTAAGTCACAATGGGCTTTTTAAAAGCTCATTATTTCAGGCTATATTTCAAGAAATCATAAATGAAAACTGCACAAGGCAAAGAGTTAATTGTCCCAGCTTTTAGGGGAAAAAATAATAAATAAGAAACTTTTATAACAATCAGCCCCCAAACCCCAAGATATCTTACAAAATACAAGCAACCAAAAATCATATTCCTTTGGACAACACACCCACATGTAGGAGTATGACTCTCCCACATGGAGTGAAGGACTACATGTGATGAAGGAAGAAAGAGAAGGAGGAGAAACAGGAGGAAGAGAGTGAGGATGGAGGAGAGGAGGAGGAGAAAAAATAGTAGCACTGCCCAACTCGAATCAGAGGTCGGGTCCCCAGAGGGCAGCTCCTACTTCTTCTTGTGGTTGGTCCTTTGTTCTGAGCACACAAAGGTGACGTCATGACTCGCACTAGAATTGTTACCAGTGATCTCCTGATTACTAAACCAAAAGGCCTTTTCCCAATCCTCATCCTTCTGGACCTCTCTGCACCTTCTGTCACCACACCCCTTTCCTTGATACTCTCTTCTCTCTAGGTTTTGGTGATGCTCTTCTCTTTGGGTTCTCCTCCTGCCATGTTCCAAACTAACCTCATTATCTTTCCCCAACCCTCCCATCTTCCTACTCTCCTAATACCATCCAGGTGCCCCTCCCAATTGTGCAGGCTCATAAAGAGATGTCATCCACTGCTCACCATCTCTAACACTCATACCATCATCCCCCCTCCATTTTCAATCTTTTGGAAAGTCCTGTTGATTTCACCTTTGTAACATCTCTCACATACATCCCCCATCCCTTCTCTCCCAACACAGCCACCTTCTAGGTTCAGACTCCAATAACCTCACACCTGTGGTATGAGACCTGTTTGGTCTCACTGCCTCAAGGGTCTCCCTAGATCAGTCAATGCTCTACCCAGCCATCAAGCTCATCTTCCTAAAGCTCCCATCTGACCAAGTCACTGCCTCCTCAATAACCTGCAGTGGCTCCCTAGCACCAGGATGACATATTAAAATCCTCCGCTGGGCTCTTAGAGCCTTCGTCATCTGCCCCTTCCTCCCTTTCCAGTCTTCTGTCACCTCAGTCCCTCTCCACATACGCTATAATCCAGGAGCAAAGGCCTCCTTTCTATGCCTGGAACAGGACACACCATCCCCAGCCTCCATGGGCTTTCCAAGGCTGCCCCTCATGCCCAGAATGCTCCTCTTGCATCTCTGAAGCCCCAGCTAAACACACCACAGAATCTGGGGGTCAGTGACTTGCCCAGGATTCCACTGCTAAATAAGAATTGTAAGCCAGGTCTTCCTGCCCCCAAGTCTAGCATTCTCCTCACTGGGTCATGGAGCCAACTCTTGTGATAACAGGCCTCACACACCTGCTTTCCCCTCACTCACCTGAACGGGAGGTTCTGGGGTCTTCTAGCTCCAGCATCCACGGTGCTTCCCCTTGTCCAAAATGGGAGCTCACACCTTCCCTGGGAACTGGAAGTCCTGGGCATGGGGATAAGGAAGGGATGAGGATGGAGAGACATTCGTAACTTAGCTCACTTTAGCGAAAGGGGGCCTGCAGGAAGGGTCATAGGAGGGTTCCCAGGACATCCCAAGAACCTTTTCCATGACATTTATTGTTGGGACCTTTGGTGGGGGAATGGGAAGGAGATCATTTGGAAGCCAATTTAGAAGAAGAACATTCTGTTTTCTCCACTTCCTTCATACAAGGATGGGCTGAATTCAGAGATTCCATTATCGAGAAATTAAGAGGCAACTGGTGATGCAGTGGAGAAAATCTTGGGCCTGGATTCAGGAAACTCTGTGTCTCAGACACTTATTAGCGAAGTGCCCTAGGCAAGTCACTTAACTTCTGTTTACCTCAGTTTCCTCAACTGTAAAATGAGGATAATAATATCATTTAACTCACAGGCACGTTATAACGGTAAAATTAGATAACACTTGTTTTTTAAAAAAAAAGCCGTCAGCACAGTGCCTGGAACATGGTAAGTACATGTAAATGCTTATTCCCTTCCCTTCCTTTCCCACCATTTTCCATGGAATTCCAGGGAGGTATGAAGGAAGGACAAGGACACACTTGGTACACCAGGCTTCTGAGAGTAGGACTAGGAGCTGGGCGCCACAAATCTACGCTTGCTGACAAGAAGCGCCTTCCAAAGACCCGACCCAACCCAAGGGGGAAGAGGCTGCTTTGGGAGGAAGGGGCTTCCTTCACTGCCCATCTCCTGGGCAGTTTTCAGAAATCTGGCAGAGAAAATTCAGGTTCAGGGAGAGGTAGACTAGGTACCACCTCTGAAATGACTTCCAAGTCTGAGATTCTTCAACACTGGGTCGATCTTTGACCTCAGGCTCCCTACAACCCGCAAGAGGCACCTTCAGGGGCAAGAAAGGCAAATCCCAGTTTTCTATCACACGCTGCAGAGGCCTTTTACAGGAAAACCAGGCAGCAGGAGGGCTTGGACACAAGAGAACAGCACTCTGGCCTTTCTAATTATTGGTGAATGCCAGAAACCCTACACACTAGGAGGGAATGAAGGCAGTCCCTTGGATTGCAGACTCAGAGTGGCCACAGGAAGTGTCCTTACCCAGGGACAGCAGGTTCCGGGCATTCTCCAGCATGACCTCCTTGTACAGCTCCTTCTGAGAATGGTCCAAGAGGCCCCACTCCTCCTGGGTGAAGTCCACAGCTACATCCTGGAATGTCACCGACTCCTAAACCACCAAAAGTCACAGGATTTAGAGCTGAAATTTACAGGAGGAAAGGGAAGTACAGAGAAAGGATCTGACCAAAGGTCATACCCTTTTGACGGTCAACGACAACACTTGGAACCACAGTCATGAAAAGCCCAATGCAATATGAGGAGAGCGTTTATATCTGCAACTGGAATAAAGCTGAGAAATGTGTTACTATGAACTGCTTCTCCCCTATAGAATCAGGGAAGTTTTGTGATCTATCAGAGATAAATGAGGATCTCTGGAGGAGAAGGAGAGAAGGTGCAGTGAAATGTCTTCCTCATTAGAACAGATATACGTGATATGTCATGAAGAAAATTCCATGAAGAGCTGGTGAGGTGCTAGTAGGGAATGTGTATTCTGGAAGAAAAAAGGTTCCTGTGATCACTGAAGAAAGGGTAAAGAAAAAGAAAAAATCGAGTTTATTTCCTGAGTGATCGAAATAAAGTCTTATCCAGACGAAAACAAAAAGAGGATCCTTAAGGGATATTAATCACAACCTGAACTGAGGCGAGTGGTATGAGACCGTTTCCAGCCAAGGGAAAAAGCGCTATCAATTAATCGTTATATTGAGAACGTGAGGTGGCTCTCTGCGTATCATGTGTCATAAACAATATATCTTATGCCTTTGCCTTATGATTGCTTTCATTCTCTCTCTCTCTCTCTCCTTTCAAAACATACAAGAACCAAAAAGGGGACATTCTACTCTGAAACTGTTTGTCACTACCAGGAAGGAACTGGCTGCTGGCCTAGAAATGATGGGACCCTTGGGGGGAAGTGACGAACCCCTTCCAGAATGAGGGACAGAGGAGGAGGAGTCTGGGGACGGGCTGATGTGAAATCTACATCGGGAGGTGGCAGGTTTCAACGGACTCACTCAAAGAAAAGACAGATATGACCCCCAGGTCCTCAAATCCTAGAGGGGAAGTCAGCCCAAGACATTCAAGTGGTTCATCCTGAAGACACAAGGGAAAACAATCTCAATGAGAAGAAAAAACTGTTGTCTCAAGAGACCAATATCAATGGAAAGAGAACTCACCAACCAACTGAAATCTTAAAAACACAATGGTCAGGGAATGGAACCAAGAACAGGAGTCAGAGGATGTAAGAAGCGTGGAACCGTCCAGTAAATTCAGGGTCAGAAACGCTAGAGCTCCCTGTGGTTTAAGGACGAAGGGACAATCCGGGGACGACAAAAAAAGGCCAAACTGTTTTACATTTTTTAAAAACTCTAGTGGGAGAATAGAGCCCACGGAACTCAATATTGGCTCAAGTGGCTCAATTGGAAATGGCGTTCCTACGGAGGAAGGGACGGGAACTTGTCGGGTTGTGCCCAGAGAGCAAAACCAGGAACGACGTGTGAAAGTCACAGAGAGGCCAATTGGAGCTTCATTTCTGGGGGAAAAAAACTAAACCAAATTGATCCCAAACAGCCTCTAACAGTGAGAGCT